AGGCCAAAAAAAAAATGATAAAAAATAAAAAGAGATGTATTGCACGAGTGTACATGAAAATACAAAAGCAAGTTGTGAGTGACAAAGGCAAAACCAACGATATATCTCACCGGAGCTGTTTGGCATACGCAGACTGGGCAACAACACCATCACTTCTGACCGCCTGCTTCTCCAGGAGTCCACGCGCCACGGCGAAGCTGCTCCTGAATATCCTTCGCGAGGCCATGTCTAGCAAATTACCGCTTCTCCTATATATTTCTCATCCACGCTTCTTTCTTCCCTTCTCTATACTTACTCTCTCTTTCTGTAATCTGCGGATGACTCCCTTGCCCGCGTATCGTACGGCACGTAAGCAACACAACGCCTTTGTACAATATATAACCTCGCTGCTGCTCTCACAACGATTTTTTTTTTTTTTATTATTATTAAGAACCGATCGTTTATTATTATTATTTTTTTTTCCAAAAGCTCGCGAGTACGGCGCGAGGAGAGCGATAAATTTTATTTTCAGAGCCGAAGCGGTAAAGGGGGAAAAAAAGAAAAAGAAAACAAGAAGACAATAGTTGGGAGAAGAGGAGCGGCCCGGACGGACGAGCGTCTGGAAATCTACTGAGGCAGTCGATCGCTGCCACCGACGCTGTTACCGAGCGCCGGGAACGCCGAAAGCTTAATAAATCCACTTGGTGTTTTTTAAAAAGAGGTGTGGACTTTGCATCGGCACCTACCAACGGTTATTACAATTTTATGAACAAACAGAGGTTTACGAGGTAGATAAGGCTTCTTTTTCAACTTTGCAACAAAATTATCCTGGTTAAAGATTCGGGGGATTATTTTAATTAGAATCGGGAGGTGGAATGGCTCCGAGCGATTCTAATGATTGATACGTAATTAATTCAATTGAGCCTGAATGTAGCTTGGGTGAGCAAGTGTTTTTAAGATTGGATTTTTTTTTTGGTGAATCGTAGAGGAAATTTAATGTAGAAATGTAATTTTTATGTTGATGTATGAAACATTTCGGAGCACATTTGGAAAAAAAAGCCTGTGATTTTTTTACGCGTTGGAATTTTTACATTTACATAAATACTTTTGAAATGTTTTAAATAAGATTTAATGGAAATTTTTTTAATTCATTGCGTCAGTTTTTATAAATCATAACTCATTCCATGCGACATGAAGCAAAACAAAAATAAAGTATTATAATAACATATCTCAAGTTTTCGCAAAACGAAACATTTTTATTTATTTATTTATTTTTAATACTCTTTAGTTTTTTCTACCGTATTTGTGGCTTTCCGTGACGATGTCAAAAGTTTACTACATGTCCAGACAAACTTTGGCAACGATTTTTATTGTGAAAAAAATTTTTCAGTGGATCCATGCAAAATACATCATTAAGTAAATAAAAAAAATTTGTTAAAATTGTTACATTCTTATTAATTGTGGAAACTTGAGTTTTCAAATAGTATTGGAGGCATGTAAGATGTAAGATTTTTCGTCTTTAAAACATGTTACGAAAATAATTTTTTTTTTAAGGGACTTCTTAGTGAAGTTTTTTTGTTTTCAAGTTTCTCATTTATCACATAAACTTATATAATATACACATTACGTAGTTGTTCATATTTATTGAAATAAAATCTATAATAAACGAATTCGTTAAATTAAGAAATCTTTATATCTATGGATGACTTTGTAGTGAAATATGTTTGATGTTTCATTTTTTTGGACAAAATAAATTTGAAATTTTCGCGGGGACCGAAACAGTAGTTTTAAAACATGTTCGAGAATTTAAATTTTAAAATACAAGATTTTCGAAATCACATTATATTTCAAGTTATAATAAAACTGGTGGCCCTTCCTACAGATTATTTACATAAACTTTTTACAAAAAATAGTATAATCTTGAAAAATTATCAAGACACATCAGGAATTTTTTTTATTATAGCGTAAAGTATACATGTGAGTAAATGTAAATAAAAATAATCACTTGTTAAAAGAAAAACTTAAATGTTTAAATACGTTTATTTTTTTTGCTATTTCAAAATTTACATAGATTTTATGACTGATGGAACCGGCACAATCTACTCAAAAAGCATGTATAGTAAGTAGTTCCAAAGAGAAAAAAATTAAAATTGATCAATTACAGCTAATGAAATTTACTTTTTCCCTGCCTTGTTTGATGGAGCTGGTAGTCTGTATTTTTCCATCTCTATAAAGGCATCAGCAAAGGAATCAACATGATAACAGAAGTATTCTGGATTTTTGTATTCCGCATCTTTTTTAGCTCCACGAAAACCAACAGCTGCAACATAAACGTGAAAAAGTTTGTTTTTAATGATTTATTTCCCTAAAAAAAGAAAAAACATTAAAATCAAAGTTATTCATCGACTTTTCAGATTCATATCTTCCAAGTCAATGCAACCAAACGATAAGTATACATGTTTGTAGAAAGAAATGTTATTGTCATAATTGTTGATACTCACGATAATCTGGTACATCAACAACAGCACCACTCAATCCTGGCACATTAGGAATACACTGATGGTTTGTCTCAGACGAACTATTTTTGCCAGACTTGTCTGAGGCATAGCCTTTGTTGAACACAACAATTGTTCTCTGCAAACAAAATAATAAATTAAACAACGATGGTCACCTCTCAAACACAACAAAGTAAGTATAGGTATACGTGTAGAGGTTAATCAAGTGTCGTGAGTGAACACAGAGAGGCATAAAAGAACAACACGATTTTAAACGTAATGATTACCTTTGGGACGAGTCGCGCACCAAGAGTTCGGAGCATTTTCGTATGTACAAATAATTCCCCGAAGGGAAATCAGATCAACAACACTTGTTTGCAAAAAATTTCTTGTAATAGCTGCAGACACTAACCAGCAGACGACAACACTTTGCACACTACAGCTCCTGTCAAATGTGAATGACCATCAGAACCATCGTGATTGGATGAGCCGTCCAAAGGCCAAAGTTCATTGGCCAAGATTACATAACACGCTCTCACAGCTGATTGTCGTCGTCTTCGTCGGAGGAGGACGTCGGCTGCAGCAGCTCTCGGAGCCCTGCTTATTTTTTCGATAATTCGCTTTTTATTGTGAAGAGGTAATCGTTACAAAAAGGAAAAAGTATCCTTAATTTTGGACTTTGATTAAAGCAGATTGTGTGGTTTGATTTGTGGGTGATTGGTGCTTTTCAATTTTATCGAGTACCCATTTGTGTTTGTGCGTGATTGTAAACAAAGTTTCTGGAAAACTGGGCAGATACAATTTGAAACACCGTCATTCGTTTTTAATACTTTGGTTTTCTCTCAAGCTTGTTTTTCTATTGATTAGAAATTTTTACGCAGATTTTTTGATTGTGAACGAATCGTCATTCGTAATTAACCTCCAAACTTTGCACAACTACTCTTGTAATACTTGTTTGATAAATTTCAGAAGGAGCCATGGGTGTTTTACTGAACTTACTGGAAAATTACCAGTACTACAATGCACCAGAAGGACAGGATCCCCTTGGCAAGATCGTGGGATTCGGCAAATGGGGCTTCACATCTGGTGCTATGGCGGGTCTCTTTGATGCCGTTCTTATATCGAAATGTCAAAATGCATCACAGTTTTTCAACACTGCTGGATTCTGGGTGGTACCTATGACTGGAATGTGCGTGACATTCTCTTCTGTTACCTATCTAATGAATAAAGTCAGAGGTGTGGACGACCACATAAACTACGTTGCTGGAAGTAAGATATTCAACCATTTACTTTTCACTCATTTTATTAACCAATTTTACACACATAATTCCTTTGTATTTTATTTCTTTTAAACTAAAGTAAGACCTATACAAATCCTAATATACCAAGTATGTATTGTTACAAACAAAAATGTATTTTCTCAACTTCTTAAACAACAATTTTATTTGGGTATTACTAAAAATATTTAGTAATAGATGTACCTAATGCTTTTGAAATGATTTTTCAGCATGGTCAGCTGGTTATGTATTTCATTGCTGGTGCAAAGACCCTAAGCTGTCTGTAGGACTTACTCTTTTGGCCACAGTTGCTGCGTTTATCAAAAAAGACATTGAGCATTATGGCAGGCAAAAAGTATTGGAACTTAAACATGACAAGAGATGGATGCTCGAGTTTAGAAATCTTCCAGGCAGAACGTGGCTCTCTCCTCCCAGGTTCAAGCACAATAAGGAGGATTACTGGACAAACTTCTGAATTCTCTTGTTGCTTGTTTCTAAATTTCATAAGCTACTTGATTAGTGTATCGGTTTCATTGAAGAAATTAAATAAACACGTTAGATTAACTCGATCATATTTTTATTTTACTTAATAGCTTTACCTTTAAAATACCAAGCTTATATTACTATATATACACAGTGCAGATGATTATATGGGTTATAAAATATATTTCTTCCAAAATAATCCTAAATTAAGTCAGTCCGCGTCTCATGTTAACGTTTCACCTTTTGTCACCTAAAAGAAAGTTTGAAAATCAATATTGACCAACAACTTTACCTGAAAAATAATATGCAAGCAAATACTTACACAAGCCTCCAAATATTCAATCTTGCGCTCCAGCGTCGTTAGTTTTTCGTTCAAAACAGCCAGACGAGATCTGCACGACATGTCTTGAGGCACAATAAAAATAAAGGTATACGATCAACAACAATGGCTCCAATAACAATGTCAACCTAACCCATTTTTTTTGACACTTTTGAGAAAACTCACCAAAGGAATTGAGAAAATCCGTAATCTTTTTAATACTGCCGGTTATGACCTCGATGTACTCACGATTCGCCCAATCCTGTTGGATCTGCTTCTGGATGGCCTCTCTGTGATTCGACATAATAATCTTGTATTTATTAAATAAATTAAAGTTTTTTTTTTTGTTATCATGTTTCCTATTGACACATTGCCAGTTGATTCGACGATTAAGCTGTACCGCGTTTAAATTAAAGTTTTTTTTTGTTTTTCCTCTGTTCTACATATGAATATCGCACAAGCAGAAAACTATAATTTTACAAGCACACTGCACCGTTGCACATACACTGGCCCAAGGTAGTCTTCGCTTGTATGTATTTCAATCAACGCCATCTAGTGTGCGATTTTTCTCATGGCTCAGAAACCCTACTGACGTTTTTCAATTTCGTATGACGAGGAAAAGCACATCTCAGATTTTGACCTTTGAAATTAGATGGAGAAATCTGAGTTGAGCTTGTCTTCGGCCACCAACAAACATTGATATTCGACGGCCCACACACCAAATTTTTTTTGCCTTCCAGACCAGTCGGTATGAGGGTGCTTTGTAGGGCGCGCGTGCCACGAGTGCATAATAACAGTCAACACAGTAGGGATTGCATTTACCTATTGTAGAATGCTGGAAATACAGGTTCCGTTTACTGTCGTAATAACGACCGTCGATAAACAGAACCTGTGGACTACCGTCATTCTACAATAGGTAAGTGCGATCCCCACTTTGTTGACTGTAATACACGGGCGCCCTACAAAGAACCTCATATCAACTGCATGGTCTGGTAGACAAAAAAATTTAGTTTGGGGCAGACTTTTTGAAAAAAGTTGAGAAGAAAAATATCACTAAATGGCGCTGACCTACATTTAAATCTACTTATATCACCAAAATCAAACTTTCTGTCGTCTTAAGCTCTTTAATACAGCTTTAATAATTAAAACACTTGATTTTTCTTGCCTAAATAAGCTTTTGAAGTTTTCATTCAAACAATGATTTTATCATTCTGGTAAAAAGAGCACGGTGTAAGATGTACGTAAAGTTCTGTGTAGTAACTACTTATAGTAATCACCACTAAGTATAGTGCCATATGGTCGATTTTATTGATAGTAGAATATTCATACTTTTAGAGGTCAATTTTCGAGCAAAAGAATAATTGTACACTTGCCGTAAACAGTATAAACAATGTCAACTTTTTATTTTTTATCTACACGATTAGTTGCGGCTGGTTTATAATTGATTAAATGGCTCAGCTATAAATAGTTTAATAGTAATAATTATTTAGATCAGCGCCATCTAGCGTTGCGGATTTTTGAGCTAAAAAGTGGCCCTAGAATTCTCAAGGAGAGCTTTAGCGCTTAGAGATACTTAGCTTATTATAAACCAGCCGCAACTCATTGTGTAGCTATAAAATGAAAAAATAATTATATATGTGTTTTTGGCGGCAACTAAACAATTTATTTTTTACTCGAAAATTTATCTTCAAAAGTGTAAAGACACAAGAGGTCAATTATTTGGTAAAAAATTGATTGGTAACTTGCCGCCAAAAACACATGTATAATTATTTTTTTATTTTATAGCTACCGAATGAGTTGCGGCTGGTTTATCATAGGCTAAGTGTCTCTAAGCGCTAAAGCTCTCCTTCAGAATTCTAGGGCCACTTTTTAGCTCAAAAATCCGCAACGCTAGATGGCGCTGGTCCAATAAATTATTACTGTACTTACAGTAGAGCTATTTAATCAATTATAAACCAGCCGCAACTAATCGTGTAGATAAAAAACAAAAAAGTTGACATTGTTTATACTGTTTGCGGCAAGTGTACAATTATTCTTTTGCCCGAAAATTGACCTCTAAAAGTATAGATATTCTACTTACCTATAAGGTTCAATGAAATCGACCATATCCGCACACCCTACGGCCGTTTTTTTGCTTTGACATAATATGCAAGAGCAAAGGCCACCGATAGTTCGATCATACCCGAAGCAAAAAACGTCCGTAGGGCGTCCGGGCCGTCGAATATAGCCAATGTTTGTCAGCGGACGAAGAAAAGCTCAACTCAGATTTCTCTATGTCATTTTAAAGGGCAAACTCTGAGTCGTGCTTTTCTTCGTCATCCGAAATAGAGAAACGTGTAAGTAAACGTAAATGTATTTTAAGAATGTGAAAAATATCAATGTTGAACTGAAAAGTTGAATTGATACTTATGATGAATGGATAAATCGCTTCTTATAGTAGCCGGTGCGTCATATTCTCAATTGAGAATTGTTTTTATTAATTAGCTAAATGTATCATGATAAAAACAGTAAAGATGGGTTGTTGATAAGACAATTTTCTCGTTCGAGTGTTTGTTGGTTATGTTAGTTGAGTTAAGTGTGTAAGAGATAAACAAATAGGCCAAGCAAAAAACAGCTGTTTTAAAAAATGTGGCGAGAGGGAGGCAAATTAATTAACAATCATTGAATGGAGGAACCCAGAGTTAATCAGTTTGCGTTACCATAGGTGCGCTCGTTCATTTGTACGTAAAGGTTTTATCTCATGATAGATGATTATTGTAGGATTAATATTTTTTATAATTCACATATTTTCATTATTCTTGGTTCTTACAATAATAATGTACATCGATTCAAAAGTTTGAATGGTGTTTGTTGTTTTGCTTATTATCTAGTTGTTATCTAGTGTGTATCTTTTTAGCCTTAAAAAAGATCCAAATGTCTATAGAAATAATTTTCTTTTGTGGTATTCATGCAAATAAATTTGTCAAAATGGTTTCAAAATTATCGTTACAGATAACTGCTGTTTTATTCACTTTACAAAACCTGTTCAAAATCCAGTGGATGTTATGATTTTGGGACGATGTTATGCTCAAACTATACGATTAGCATTTGACATATCTAAACAATGTGTTAACAATAGGGGAAAAAGCATAGCTTCCTTTGAATGCAATATTAAGTAAGTCGGACTTTTTGATATTGATGTCTCACCAAATGAGATTTACATTACTTTTCTTGATAGAGTATCCTAAACACATTTTATGAAAATATAAATTTATGAATTCCATTGTATTTTATGAATTATCAATAATTCATCAAGTAGCAAGTCAGCTTCACAAATATTGACTCGATTGAGCAAAAAAATGGCTTCAACCTCTACCAGTGTTGAAAGCAGTGGACAGAATAAATTAGCTTTTGAAAAATCTCCTTACCTTCTTCAACATGCAACTAATCCTGTTGATTGGTACCCATGGGGCGACGAGGCCTTGGAAAAGGCAAAGAAAGAGGACAAAATCATATTTCTGTCAGTGGGCTATTCCACATGCCATTGGTGCCATGTGATGGAAAAAGAATCATTTGAAAATCCGGAAATAGCCAAAGTCATGAACAAATACTTTGTAAATATTAAAGTGGATAGAGAAGAAAGGCCCGACATTGACAGAGTGTACATGACGTTTGTACAAGTAAGAGAAATTTTCATGAATAATCAAAGACAATAAGGTTGTTTCTTTTTTAATAGTTGTCTATGGTAGTCAATTTCAGGTCGTGGTGGTTGGCCCATGAGTGTCTTCTTGACACCAGATTTGATTCCAATCACAGGAGGAACGTATTTTCCACCAGATGATAAATATGGACAGCCAGGTTTCATGAGAATATTAAAAAGTCTTGCTTCAAAGGTGATTTTTTCATTCATTCATAAACATTTTAAGCCAATTCAAGTCACCTCAAGATGTATCTAACTGTAAATGAAATAAACGTACTTTACAGTGGTCTGAAAATAAGAAAGAGTTTATAGTATCTAGCTCTCAAATCATGAAAGCGCTCAAAACTGCAGTAGTTTCCAAACCCCAAAACGAAGTATATGCTCATATTTTTAGTAAAATAATAATAATTATAATTATTTTAAAAAAACTGACATTTA